AGCTGCTAACTTGAGTTCAGGGCAGAGCCTATGTTCTGCCCAGGAGGTGAGAGCTAAAGGCATCTCTCAGACAGAAATCAGAAACTTAGCAGACATGCACTTTGAAATTTGTTTCAAAAGATGAGGATCTGGCCATTTGGACATCAGAGGGCAATTCTTATCCGGTAGAAGGACCCTAAGGGAGCTGACTTACTGGAGTCACACAGCCAACATGTGTCTGAGGCAGAGATGGAACCCAGGTCTTCCTGACTCCAAGGCCACCAGGGTCTGCCACACCATGCTCCCTCCAGACATTCCCAAAGACAGGGGTTGGGAGGGAGAGGTGGCAGAGATCAGGAGGTGATGTGTTTAGCTTTGGAAATGCCCAATTTGAAGGGACTTTGGATGACCAGGGAAAGGCGTAAAGCAGGCAGTTTGACTGGGATGAGATAAGTGCTGGGGATGGGACATGCAACCCTCGTTCTGTCCTTCATTTGTTCTCTGACCTTGGACAAGTCACTCCAGCACTATAGCTTCCTCATCTGTAGAATGAGGGACAGAGTTAAATGATCTCTGAATTCTCTTCCAATTCTAAAACCCCGTGATCTTGTCATTCAAATCAGCATGAAGTTGAACATAAATTATAGTCGTATGTGTTCAGATCAGTTGGCCATGTGTCATAGAGTGTTCAAAGAACTGTCTGAATTTTCCACAAAACTTAAAATTTTTGAGAACTCTTAGATTACTGCTGTATTTCTTAAATAAAAAGGGGTTGAATCAAGTCGTTTTTTAAAAAAAAAAAAGGTTTTTTTTAAGGAAAAGGAGGACAATCCCAGATACACTAGATGAATTTGCTTATCTTTAATACCTCCCCATACCTGTGGCTCATGGTGGCAAATATCTGACAGCTTCTATCAGACAGAGTTAGTGGCCCCATACCCATTTATTTTGTGGTGCAAGTAATACCTGACAGCAGAAGGTTAGAGTGGTAGCTGACCCAAGTGTGTTTTGGTCCAAAAATTCCCTCCCCTTTCTCTGCCAGTTACCCGGTGCCCATCTCTCCACTCTTCTTCTCTTGGAATACTGCCTAATGGATGGTATATTTATAGAGCTTACTGGAAGCTGCTTGCCCATTGCTGGACTCCAGATTGGGTGTTATTTTGTTTTGTTTTGTTTTGTTTTTTTTATCAAGGAGGACTTAAACCAGAGGATTGGAGCCACTGCTCATTAGAGGGTCAATAGAAGAATCAGTATCATCCTAGCAATTCTTTTTAGACCCAGAAACAACTGATTTCTTGGATTTACACACACACACACACACACACACACACACACAATGACTTAGTATGATGGGCAAAGTGAGATCATTAATCCCTAGTCTGAGAAGTCCTTGGAGTATTACCATGACAAAATTAGTATAAGTCATTTAAATACAGACCTGCCGTAATAGAGGGGGTTCATGAGGTTGGAAGTATCCCTTACTCTTAGTGAAAATGAGTGGAAACTTAAATGTTCCCTTGAGCCTTCAGACTAAATCCATTTGGGGACCAATGCCTGCTCTCTAGCCAAGCTGTGCTGGGTGGGTGCTACAGGAAGACGTGAGGCTCTTTGTTTCAAGAAGACCAGCCCATTTTCCATTGGGTCTCATGATGAGGAACTAGTCTAGACCTGGGAGACCTACAGTGAGACCCGAAGGAAGCCTTGAAAACCAGGTGGCTTCTGGACTTTCCTTGAGATGGTCGGTTTGCCTGGAGCTCTTGGACCAAATTAGACCTTTACGGCCCGTGGAAAAGTAAAGCCATTTGATCTTCAAAACTTGGGCAGATAGCTTTCTGGGATCCTTATAATCTTCTTCAAACTGGCCCAGACCCAAGTAAAATCCTTGAGGCCTACCTAATCTGAGCCTTTCTAGTGAGATGGTACTGTTCTCCAGAAGACGAAGGGCATGAGAAGGAAGGTGTTTGATAATAGACTGCATACCTTTGGCTTATCCTAACAGACCCTTCTAGCGTCTGCACTGCCAGGCACATAGAGAATAACAAATTGTCCTCAAGATCTATCCCAGAGGAGAGTTTTATAGGCATTTGTACCTCCTCTGCTAGTTTCTCTTTATCTTTTACCCTACTCCCTGTGAGCATAGACTTCCATGCTCTGTTTTTCTGTACTCTCTTTTCTTCTGGGATCACTTGCATTGCTTCCAAATCCATGTCTCTGGCCCTGAACTCCAGGCATTGTACATTTCTCTTTAGATAACTGAACTCATCATCTTCCTGACTTTGTCACGTGGTGTGCAGTTACCCTCCTAGATACTCATGCTCCTAACCCTCAGAATCATCTTTCACTCCCTGGTCACAATATGTAGTGAAAAGAAGTGTTTGGGTTTGGAGTCAAGAGGCCCAGGTTCGAGCACTAACTGTGCATTAATAGCTAGGTAGCCTTGGGTAAGATGTTGACCATCTTTGAATCTCAATTTCCTTATTAGGAAAACAGGAGCGATGTTATCCCCATCTCACAGGGTTCTTGTCTGAATCAAATAAAACAATTAAAATGTAAAGCATTTTTTAAAATTGTAAAATACTACATAATGTATATTTTCAATCAGAATCCAAGTCCCGTTGTTCTTTGTGCCATCTCTCTGGATGACCTTAGTTAAGTATGTGGATGATCAGTTAATAATTTTCTAATTTATGTCTCTGCCCCCACATTGGTCTCCCTAAAACAGTACTCTGACCAGGTCGTTCCCCTGCTCAGAATAACTTACACATCCCCTAGGAAGGCTTTGTTGAAAATTCATATTCCAAAAAAAGTGTGACAAAATATAACACTCATTTACTGTACTGTCAACCTGTACCATCAACCCTATAAAGCACTGGCATAGAAGAGTCATCTTTTCTCTTTGTATATCTTGAGAGTATGTTTGTATCCCTGGTAACTAATGCAGTGCCTGGCCCTTGGTGTGTACTTCCAGATATTTGTTGATTGATTGATGCCCAGTGGTTGGGGAGCAGTGAAGCAAACCATAGTATGTGACTGTGTTGGAATATTACTGTGCCATAAGAAATAAGTTGAGGAATTCAGAGAATAAATGGGAAGGCATGAAATGAGATAGAGTGAATAGGTAAAAACAGTACACACAGTGACTTCCAACTGTGAAAAAAAAAAGAAGGAAAAAATAGGATTGAACTCAACAGTGCATAATTAGGATGACTGTGTCTGGCCCTGAAGACAAGTTGGGAAAATGCACTTCTCCTATTCTTTGCAGAGGTGGGGTACTGTGCCTTTGCACTGTCAGATGGTGTTGCCATTATGGTCAGCTTTGCTGAATTGCTTTTTTTTTTTATTTTATTTTTACTTTTATTATAAGGGATGGGTCACTGGATAGGGGAAGAGATATATTCATAGTGAAGGTGATAGGAAAACAAAATATGTTGACTTAAAAAAAAAGATCCATGTTCCAAAATAGTTAGTACATTTCTACGGAGTCTCTGAGGGTTTGGGGAGGAGCCAGATAGGCTTTCGCCTCCTTGAGAATCCAGCAAGGATATAATACATCTCACAAGTTAGCCTGCCCAGAATTTATTGTTGGGGTGATAGATTACTATCTGAAACAGAACTCCCCTTCAGGAAGGCCAACTAGACTTCCTTGTAAAGAAAATGTGATTGAGACAACTGAAATCTCCCATTGACTTCCATCATTTCATGGAAGCCTAGTAAAGACATGTTAGCTTCTTTCTTCTGACATGATTATTTTTAGCACTGGAGAGAAAATTCTTTTTACTAGAGAGACACCACTGTCCAGTGGCATTTGGTAGCATTCTAATATTCCAGCATTACCTTAACATTTCATTGCTACCCATTTTTATTTACTAGGGATTCCTCTAGCAAGAATGACACCCAAAAGGGAAAAGGATCTAGATGTACAAAAATATTGAGAGCAGCTCTTTTTTGTGGTGTCAAAGAAGTGGAAATCAAGGAAATACCCATCAACTGGGGAATGACTAAACAAGTGGTGGTGTGTGATTATGATGGAATACTATTGTGCTATAAGAAACAATGAGCAGGATGGTTTCAGAAAAACCTAGGAAGACTTATATGAACTGATGCAAAATGAAGTGAACAGAACCAGGAGAACCTTGTACACAGTAATAGCAATATTGTAAAGATGATCAACTGTGAATGACTTAGCTATTCTCAGCAATACAATCATCTAAGACAATTCCAAAGGACTTATGATAAAAAATGCTGTCCAGTCCCAGAGAGAGAACTGATGAAATCTGAATGCAGATTGTAGCAATATTTTGGGGGGGGGGGGGGGGCCGAGGCAATTGGGGTTAAGTCCTTTGCCCAAGGTCACGCAGCTAATAAATGTCTGGTCTGAGGCCGAATTTGAACTCAGGTCCTACTGACTTTGGTGTTCTATCCACTACACCACCTAGCTGCCCTTGTAGCAAAAATCTTTACTTTATTTTTCTCCTTTTTTTGTGTCTGTTTTCTTTTGCAGCATGGCTAATATGGAAATATGTTTTGCATGACTTCACATGTATAATCAATATCAAATTACTTGCCTTTTCAAGAAGGGGAAAGGGAGAATTTGCAACTCAAAACTTTTTTTAAATGAATGTTAAATTTTTTTTTACATATAATTGAGAAATATTTGGTGAAATAAACAAAAATATATTGAAAAAATGATACCCCATATAAAAGTTATAATCTTTCCAATTTCTATTCAGTTCTTTCCTAGTTAAAAACTATGAACTAAGCAATATACTATATAAGCAAATAGACCTCCTATAGGCTAAATAAATGTATCATACTTATATGTATTACTATTTTTCAAATATGTGTAGATGTTTTGTGATAAACAAATATGTATTTCATTTGAAAAGCAAAACAAAAAGCCTGTGAGTGTTCCTAGACATGGCACTTAATTGTATGAAGGCTCAGCTGGCTTGGAGAATTCAGCCAAGAAATGTCTTAGAAAGTGGGAATATCCTTTGATCCTTAGTTCCTCTTGTGTCCAGTGTTTCCAGCCTGGAGTACCAGAATGCTCTTCGTAGAATATCTCCAATCGTCGAGGAACACGAGAAGACCTTGATACCAGCAGCGCCACAGCTCAACGTGTGCAACCCAGCTGTCATGGTGAGTAGCTTGTAAGCAAACATGGAATACCTCTGTTTCATCTCAGGGCTTTGGTGAAATGGCCAAAAGGCCTTACCCTTCCACCGAGAAGGCTTGATTGAAGGCAGACTTGGAGTGCTATCTGCCAGGTGCAGTAGCATAAGAAGGCGGGAATGAGTCCTGGAAAATCCGCCAACCCATGGTTAATAATAATGCGGTAGCTGCCTACGTGCAGATGCCGCATTATCTCTAGCATCGTACCTCCTTATCTCCTTTCCCTAATCACCTGTACGTGGGTACAGGAGCTCCGGCCCACTCGGGCTAATTGAACTTACATCCCTCCTCACTCACATTTGAAGGCAGCCCTTCAACCTCCAACCTTCTGAAAAGCTGGTCTGCTGCAGAGGTCACCATTGTTGCAACTGGAGTTTGGAAAAAAGTCACCCGACCGCCTCTAGCCTGTGAGTATAGGTTATGTGACCTCTCACCTTACAAGAATGGCCAGGAGGATCTCCAGGCTCCCCTCGGTTGTTTCCCGATTTCACGCAGAGTTCTTGGTTGATTTGATTACAACAGATTTTCTACTCCAGAGAATCCAGCGCAGAGATCACTCTCAGAGTCCACGCCATGTAAATCTCTCTATTAAGTAACCAGGCAGGTTCACCAGCTGGTAGTATTGACCCATGTGGAGAAACTCTGCTTGGCAGAACACATTTGTCTTGGTCCTTCAGGCCACGCTCTGGCCTTTGGTAGCATGGTCCCCCGGCTGCTGCCCCTCTGACTCATTCCTCCCTCCCCGGTGAGGCCTGGAAAGCAGTTGTATTTGTTTCAAGAACACAAAAGGGGGGTAAGGAGCACTGCACAGCTCTGTTTCTTGGGATAAATTCACTCCTTCCCTCTCTTTTGACCCCAGCATAAAGTTTTAGAAGACACATAAAGGTGAGGACACAAAACAGAGACCCCCGCAGACCAAGGCTTCCCCTTCTCTGTTATGCTTGGACGTGTCATTTTACCTTCCCATGAATCCCCCCCTGTCCCATGCCCCCCACCTCAAGCATCGATATCCTTCTCTCAGAGCAGGACAGCTCAACTTATAAAGGCCAGGAGTGTTTCCTGAGCACATCTGTTGGTGTATGCCACACTGTGCTAGATACAGTAAGGGGACAGTCACGAGACCAGTCTGAGACATGCTCCTCACAGTCAAGGAGTTTAACACGTTGGTGGAGGAGATGAGACAGAAACTCGGGAAACAGAACGAAGGTCAGTAGAGAAGAGAACGGTGGTCTGCCAGGGAGGTTTCATAGGAAACAAGGGAGCTGAGTTTAGAGAAGGGGCAAAAGATGAAGATGAACAGAACAGAGGCAGGGTAGTGAGGGCGTGGCATTCAGGAGAAGCAGTCGAGGACCTGGAAACAGCATTGAGTACCCCTCTGTGGGGTGGGGGTGCAGAGGCAGGGAGACAGTGAGTACGTGAGTCTGACCAGAAGCCAGGATTCCTGAGGAGCAACGTCAATGGGAGGGTTCATAGGGCAGGGCCAGATCGTGGCAGTGAGGCCGAAGGATAGAATGGCTCCAGTCGGTGACTGAGGGGCCGTTACGGGTTCTTGAGCAAAAGATTAATACTATGAGACCCAGAGGAACAAAATAACACATTTACATGCATGAGATCCTGGAACTTAGATTAGGAAGTGCTTAGATATGAAGGTTTGTGCCGTGTGTTTTTTCCAAAGGAAAAAAAAACATTTTGCTGCAGGAGATTTCTTTGGAAAAAAAAACTGAAGTCATTCCCTGAGAACTCCCTTTTCTCCCCCTTTGCATCCTCTGAAGGGGTGACCCTTCTTGCCAGGGTGATCCCTTCCCATGTTCTTTAGCAGATTGCTCCCTGTCATTTCTCTCTCTAACTTGTCACTCCCTATCTGCTCACCTCTTCCATGCAGCCTACAAGCACTCCTGTGTCTCTTGCCCCCATCCTTAAGAAAATCTCCCCTAGACCCTCCCGTCTCTACCAGCTATCATCCTAATCTCTCAGCGTCCCTTTCTCAACTCAGCTCCTGAGTGCTTCTAATTCCTTTTCTCTCAGTCTCTTCCAAATCCCCAGCATCGGGGCTTCTGACCTCATTCAAATGAGACTGTTCTCTCTGAGACTGTCAACTGCCTCTTAACTGCCAGATCTCATGACCTTTCCTCAGTCCTCTTCCTTCTGGATCTCTCTGCAGCGTTGGACCCTGTGGATCACCGTCTTCTGGATACATTCTTCTATCTGGGTTTTCCCAGCAGCTGCTCTCTAATTTTGCTGCTTGACTGACCACTCAAGTGTCCCTTTTTACGTCTTCATCCAGGTCACTCTCAGTTGTGGTCATCTTCCAAGGCTCTCTTCTGGGCCCTCCCTCTTCTCCCTCCCAGGGTTTGTAACTCAGCTCTGATACTTAATAGCTCTGTGATTATGGTAACTTAATTAAGCTCCTTCAGTTTTCTTAATGATAAGTTAGGGAGAATAATGTTTATGCTACCTGCCTCACAGGTCTGTTGTGGGTTAAGTGTTTTGTAAACTTTAAAGCAAAATGTAAGTGTCAACTAGTCATACTTTCATCCAAGTTGTTAGTAAAACTGTTAAAGAGAATGGAGCCCCATGGTGCTCTACCAGAGATGTTCCATCAATGGCATTTATTACATCTTGGAGAGAGAATCTCTGGCCAGTTGCCAGGGGGCTCTATGATTCCAAGTCTTAGTTATACCTGGGAGATCAAATTTAGCTTCTTGCTTAATATCTTGGCTAATTTCTCATGCTCTGTACATTTGTGTGTGCACATTGGAAGCCATACATGTTATTACTGTCCCTCTGTCCAGGTTATATAGAATTCATCGGTGTAAGGAACTCCCAGTGTGAATACCCCCCTCTACTGTTATAGATAACCATTAGGAGCATCTCTTAGAGAACTGCTCCAGGCACTGAGAGATCAAATTTAATTAAAGTAAAGAAGAAACCACGCTAAGCCATGATCACACGGCTACTGTGGGTCAGAGGTGAGACTTAACCATGCTTTTCCTGAATCCAAGACCAGACCCAGCTATCCTGCAATGGGACCTTTCCTGGCTCCTGTGAATCACTGGGTCCTTTCACTACTTCCCTTCTCCCTACATCAGACTGTACTGGTCTCTATGCACCTAACTTAGTGGATCTGTGGGGGCAGTTTTCAGACTCCTGTGTTTTCAATGTAAAGACTTTTTTTTTATCAGATTTTTGAAACTTCAGAAAAACGTATTCTTCACAGCCTTCATTAGAGAAACTTAAGTCTGATCCTGGCTAAGAGCTTGTCATTCCTATATCTTAAACCTTGGACTAAAAATTCAAATTCTGCTCTCCAGCACCATCTTTCCAACCAGCTGTTCGTGATCCGTATTCACTTTTTGAAGTCTCCATCAAAAGGCAACAGCACTGATGAAAATGCCCCATTCTGCCTCAAAAGTCTTAGTTTCTTTACCAGGACTTAACAGTTCCTTTCTGGATTCCTTCTGGTCTTAGTGTTGGCTCATAACCACCCAAAGCTGCCTGACTCCTCTCAACTGTGCTGAAGCCTGTTCACACAGACGATGTTATGGTTATGAAATTTTCAAATTGTTTTGTGCTTGTCTTTATCTCTTTTCTGTGGCTTCACTGTCTCTTTCCTTTTTTCCGTTAATTTTTATATAAATTTTAATCTGTGTTTAAAATAATTCAAAAGATAGGTTGTTGTTGTTTTGTGTTTTGTTTTGTGTTTTTTTTCCCATAAAAACCCAATGATGTTGAAATCAGGAGAAAAAGCAGAATAAAGGTAACATAAAATAATCCAAAATAATTTAACTCAATCCCACTTTTAAACCAAGAAGTCCATATGTAGACAATTTTTCCCACTTTCCTAAAAGGATAGCCCTGTTAAGTCTAAGGTTGCAAAAGCCCTTGGGAGATGTGGATATATTGTGCCGGCTGTCCACACAGCCTAAGCAGCCGGGGGCTCCGGGGGCTCCAGGGGCTCTCAGGACCACCTGGCAAAGCACAGACAACCAGCATCCAGAACCCGAGAGTGAGGCACAGTCTGGCCAGCCAATTCAAGACTCTGTCTTCTTGTCCCAGCTTCCTCATTGCCCTCTTACTAATGAGCTGTATGACCCTGGGCGAGACGCCCTGGGTTTCCCCGGGCCTCTGTCTCCTCTGTCCAGTGCCCAGGGAGGGTGGGGAGCGGGGCCCAGTGAGCTCAGTGGCTGACCCAGGCTATCTCTGAGGCCTTTTCTAGTTCTAGTGTTGGAGAGCCCTGAGACTCCACTCCCTCAGACTTGCCATCTCTCCCTCTTCCCAGACTGACTCCCTGACGCCTCCTTTCTTGACACGGGCTCCCAGTCTCCCTTTGTCTCCCTTTGCAAAGTGGCTTTTTTCTTCCATGTCTCCCTTTCCCCTTCTTCTCCCCTTCTCCAACATCACTCCCTCATTTGTGCTCAAGACTGAGACATGGGAATGGGTAGAAAGTGAGCTGTGAGAAGCAGGAGCTGCTTTTATCTCTCTTTGCATCCCCAGCACTTAGCACTGTGCCTGGTACATAGGAGGCACCAGCTGACAAAGCTGCATTTCCATCATTTGGCTATGACTACTTCTGTCTAAAACAGAGCCCCAGATCCTTCATCTGTTTTTTAAGCCATATGCAAATGTTAATTCCTTCCACAAATATTTATTGAGCACCTATTAGATGGAAAGCATTGTGCTTTGGGGGCTTCAGGGATGACCCAGGCACTGCCCCTGCCCTCAGGGAGCTTTCTAGCAGCTGAGGAGATGGGGCACGTGCACAGACAACCATAATTCCAGGTTCAGGGGGCTGAGTGCCTGTGAGGGCCACAGGAGCCCCTTCTAGGTGGGGTGATCCAAAGGGGTAGTTTTCTGCTTTGTCCAATGCAGCACAGTTCTTCAAACTTGGGTTCTGTTTAGGAGAAATAAATTAAGATCAAATTCCAGGATCAAACTAAATTGTAGAGTTGGTAAGTACAAGTTGCCTTTTATGTTGAGAAGGCCTGATTTTGAGGACTCCTAAGCTTCCTTGAAAGCCCAAGATTTGGGGTCTGTATTGTCGACAAATCCAGATAGGTACATGTGCCAAAGGGGTAAAATCATTGTTTAGAGCAATCCAGGAGTGAATAATGAGGAATAATGGGAAGAAATTGTGCAAAGGAAAATTTAGTCTGAATATTAGGAAAATTTTCCTAGCAGCAAGGTCTCTGAGGTGGTGGAGTAGTCCCCTCCAAGGTAGCAGTGGATGCCCCACTGACTGAGTCATTTAAAACCGAACTGGACAAAGCCCAGGAGAACAGACTGTAGGAAACAATCCTTCCTTGGTTAGATGGGAGCCAGGGGAGTAACAAGCTGGCTTAATAGGTCTTTGCCGTGTCTGGTTCCTTTGATTCTGTGTTTCGCTGCAAAAACACTCTGAGAGCCACGGGTGAGCCCCACGCTTTTCTTCCTGGCTTTAATAGAAGACTCAGGTGGCAGAGTTAACCCTTGGTATTCACTCGGACAGTGACTTTCTTTCTGTCTCAGAGTGGAGATGTTCGTGGGAGGACTCTGACTGTCGCTTTCATAACATAATAAGATCTCGACTTGTTTGGCATCTCTGCCTCCCCTCCGAGATGTCTGCCGTGTCAAATCTGACACTCCCCTCTTTCTTGGGGCAGCACTGGCTTGTCAGGAGAGAAGGGCTCTTCCCTTGCCGGGGAAGACGCTTACCACGTTGTTCACCCCAGCGTAATGCCTGCCCGCCTGCCTGCCTCTCCAGTCGTTGGTACAAGCCGATGGCTTCCTGGTTTGCCCCTCCCGTGCCAACTTGCTCTTTTCCCTGAGTTTAATCCTGTGTTTGACAGACCGTTTCTTCGCTTTGTCATTTAGGAGGCTATTTTTGTCTTTCAAGGTGTTAGCAGCCCCACCCAATTGCCTACTCAATGACAGGTTCCACTTTCTGTCATCCAGATCATTGATGTGAAAACATGGCCCTTGTTAGGAAACTTGGGGTGATTTCTGGTCTACCACTGCCATCTTCTGTTCCCTCGAAGGAATTACCTATATCAGATCTTGAAAATGGTGGAATATTGATGTCCACCAACTCCGGAACTAAATTGAAAAGAATCTTCAGAATTGAACTGCCAAGTTAAAAACTAGATTTCCTGTTCAAGACATAATAATGTGTATGTTGAAATGCATTTGTGTGACCTGCTTTTTTTTCCCATCATAATATAGTCCCTGTGGGTCTTTCCCACCTTTAGGCCCCAAATAGGATCCTTCTCTGTCCACTTCGTGGCATGAAACTTCATCTTCCTCCATCACCTGCTCTAATAGACCAGTGACCTGCGTGTAGGTTCCTGCAAGATGCTGGTTCTCCATCACCAACCAGGAGTAAAGCACATCTAGATTATAAAGGGTGTCAGGATGTTTACCACTATGTTCTGCACAACAAGAGAAATGTGCATCTGTTAACGGCCCATCTGCAGAAAAGAACCTGTTTGGAAATGGGCCAATCTATCTGCACATTGACAGTTGCCTCCTGCTTAAGTACAAAATTAAAAAGCATGATCTAGGACTTTAAAAAAAAAAACAAACAAACAAGTTACCATAAGTAAACTTTTATTGTCTTTGACCGTGGCTATGTGCTAGTGGATAGAGAGCCAGTCCTAGAGCCAGAAAGACTTAGGTTCCAATCTGGCTTCTGACCAGCGCTGCCTCCATGACCCAGAGGAAGTACTTAAACTCACAACGCCCCAGGCATTTCTCTAAGCCTATATACACTACAGAACAAGTGCTGACCCATCTTGGAAGAGGGAGTTTTCTCATCTGGGCGTCACAGGTCTCACTCCTACCCCTATCTTTATTGCATTTGAACATGTCTAGAATCATAACTGCAAGTACTTTACAGGTGTTCTCACAGTTGGTCCTCACAGCCCTGGGAGGTAGATGCTATTGTTGGCCCCACTTCACAGATGAGGAAGTTGAGGCTGAGAAGTGTCTCGCCCAGGACCACAACACAGTATCTGAGGCGAGATTTGAACTTGGGTCTTCTAATTTCCAGGACTGACCCTCTCTATCCATAATATCACCTAGCTACTTCATAAGACTTTTTTGTAATCCTAGTTGTTTAGCCCATCATGTTTCAGTGTAGTGGAAGAATTTACTGTATTATGATATAAAACTTAACCTAGAGATGAGGTGTGGCAGGTGTTGGATCAGGGGTAGGGAACCTGCTGCCTTGAGGTCACATGTGGCCCTCTGGGTCCTCAAGTGTGGCTCTTTGACTGAATCCAAACTTCACAGAACAAATCCCCATAATAAAAGGATTTGTTCTATAAAACTTGGACTCAGTCAAAAGGTTGCACCCAAGGACCTAGAAGGCCGCAGGTTCCCCACCCCTGTATTAGATTGTAAGTATCTTTAGGACAGGGTCTTTGTCCTATTTATCTTTGGATCTCCCCCACCACCTGGAACCTAATAGGCACTTACTAGATGCTCCTTGAATTGAATTAGTAGGTGCTTAATAAATGTTTGTTGAATGGCCAGCCAACAAAGGGATACAGTAAACCTGGACTTGCCTCCATTTTAGCAGAGGTGGGCCTTTCTAGAATTAAGCATCATTTAGGACCAGTGTTTTCAGAAACATAGTATTAATTCCTAGGAAAAAAAGGTGGGAGATGAAAGGGGCCTCCCTTTTATAGAAGGCATTGAAACTAAGGTCAGTCCATTTTTTTTCCATTGGCAAAATGCCCTAAGTGGAGGAAGAAATTGATTTGAACAGTGGTAAGAGATAATATAGATATTGTTAATGAATATATGAAAATTCAATTAAAATTACATTAACTATTATTCTGATCTCCTTAGCTAGTTACTTTCAATTCAGAGTAGCATTTGAAGAGCAGTAGCAATTTTACAAGAAGATTTTATTAACTAATTTTTTTTTAATTTACTGCGTTTGAACTCAATAAGAGACCTCATTACAATGCATTATGAACCTTAGCTAGTTCATTGGTTGGGATTTGTTGAGATCATTATTTTGACAGGGTATTTTTAAAAGGCTTTGGAAGAAAGCTGGGCTCTCACAGAAATTCCCTGGAATTCACAGAAGATGGCAGCAGAGCCAGGGGTATAGGTTGGAGAAAAGTCATCTTGGCCATGCTTTGTCAGTCTTGATGGTTCCTTGCCAGCACCTAACGCAATGCTGGCTCGATGGCACACACTCCAAGACTTATTTTTCATTTGTCGACTTGACCCAAATCGTTTCCCTACCAGCTCTGTTGAGATGTGATGATCAGACCCCACTCCATCTGAGCCAAAGATGGGAGATCTCAGCCCTGAGTCACCAGCTTCTGCTGGCTTCGTAAAAAGGCACCAGTCCTACTTGCCGATGACTCAGGGAGTAGATCTGGACTAGTCTCATCTTCCTTTCTGTTTTCGTTTGTCAGAACTGGGCCCCTCCTGGTTGTAAGAAGTTGGGAAAGTGCTTGAGCCCGCCAGAGTCCGCACCAAAGAAGTGCTTTTGGCCCCACTAGCTGCCCCGCCTCCCCGTGGATCCCAGACACCCACGTGGCAGGTGTGGGGAGCGCATCTGCCCTGGTGGGGTTGGTCATAAAGGCAAGAACATCAGATGTGAAAAGACAAGTTGTCACATCCCTCGGTTCCAGCAGTGATTCTCGTCAGCTCCCTGGTGAGAGACTAGAGCGTATGCCTGTCTTTGCAAGCTGTTGCCCAGTGTTAAATTTCTCTGTAACGTTTCTTTAGCGAGTGAAGGAGTGTGGCCCAGAGAAATGACCACTCAGGAGAGAAACACGAAACTCTCTTCTCTCCCTATTAAAAATCATGTTTCCCAAAGACCCGCATCTGAAAACAGAGGAGTAGACTTGAACTTGTCCTAAAACCTGTTGCCAAGGGACCTCCCCTCCCATATCAACCACAGGGTCACTGATTGGCAACAGATAAGGAGGAAAAACAAATACCCTATATTTCTATTCTCTTTTCCTCTTAAAACCTCCAAAGGCTTTCTGACCTGTGTATCTCGTTCATCTTCACATTGGTGCTGTGAAGGAACAGGTATTATTATCCCCAGTGGTTCTAATTACCTTCTTGACAAGCTTTCTCTTGGGCCTGGAACCTCAGTTCAGATAGCCTGAGAGAGAGAGAGAGAGTGTGTGTGTGTGTGTGTGTGTGTGTGTGTGTGTGTGTGCACGAACCTCTATCATCTTTCTCCTTCATATTTCAATCCCAGTATTAACAGTTCAGCTGCCAAACTTGGGTTTCAGTAACGAAAGATGGAGGATAGAGGAAGGAACCTCGCATTGCAGAGAGATCCTTATATTTGTCATCTAACCCAGCACATCCTGCCCGAAGGCTTCCTAGTTTCCTCTTGAGCCACTCTCCCCACTGCTATGGTCCACCGATGGTCCAAATGGATAGATAGTGTGTGTGAGGAAGGAAGTCTAGAAGAGGGCTGGGGTGGGTATTTAAAGAGAAGGGGATACTGAGGCTATTGCCCTCAGCCTACAAAAAAGTGGAAAGACCCTGCCTGTGTGCCCCACCCCCCAAAACACACACACCGCTGAAAATGGAGATAGCCAGATTCCTGTTTCTTGTGTTGTCTTCAGTGAGAATCTGCAATTTCAGCTCCATCAATTTCCCTGTTTTTAGTAGGGATTTAGAGAGGAGTGGAGAGTCACTTATCCCATCCCCCAAGGCTGGCATTAGACTGGAGAGCACTCCAGAGCCCAGCAGGCCAGCCTGCAGTTCTAGAAGACAGCTTCAAGTTAGACAGTGGGGTGGGGGAGGGAGGACCATGGCTGGGAGCTTCAACTCTTCTTTTCCTCACCACAGTGAAGAGTCAGAGGGAACAGTGGGCATCTTTTCCTCTCCTTGAAGTGACCTCAAGGGATGAAAAATGGGAGCCATGCTCCTCGTCCCTACTGCAAGCTAGATAAACGTAATGTTTTCTCTGCCTCCAGAAAGCTGGCTCTGATTTGGAGATGCCTTCTTGGGGCAGATGCAGCATCCTCTGTGTGCCTTACTAGAGAGATGGGGGTGGTGGGGTGAGAGGGGGAGGGAGAGAAACAGGTCTTCAAGGATGGGAAGCAGGAATTCCAGGTCTTTCCATCTCTTCTTCCCAAAGACATTGGCAGAACTGAAGGCAGTGTGTTCCCCACCTTCCCAGTGGCCCTCTACCTCCATGACGAGTATGAAATACGACACAAGAGACATACCTGGGAGCTGGGGCCCTTCAGAGCAGGCTTTGTGCTCCTCTGTCTTTGCTCTGGAGCAGCAGGATAGGGAGTCACAAACCTAGTCCTCAACGACTGACATATTTAGGAATGCCTAGAACTATACCCTTCTCCCTTCCATTATTAGGTGTTCATTGTGGGCGTGGAGCTATTTCTTGGGCGTAGGTACATCTGGCTCCCTGACCTTCCTGTCATCGAGGCAGGGAGGACCATCTAGGTTTTCACAGTGACACTGCCTGCCCTCTCTTGGTTCTTATACTACCTGTGACACTCTCTCCTCAGTCTCCTCTGCTGTATCTTCATCCACATTATGCCTGTTGACTGTGGTTGTCTCCCAATGCTCTATCTTGGCCCCTCTTTCTTTTTGCTCTGTGCTCTTGGTAATCTCACCAACTCCAGGGGGCTCAGTTGCCTCTACATAAATGATTTCCAGATCCATACTTCCAGCCATAGCCTGTATCTCATGGTTTTCATTCCTACATCTCCAACTGCTTATAGACCCCTCAAATGGATGTCCTATAGACATTTCAAACTCAGCAAGACCAAAGCAGAAGTCATTATCTTTCCCCTCAAACCAACCTCTTTTCCTGAACTTCCCTGTTGCCATTGAGGGCACCACCATCCTCCCACTCAGCCAGGTTCCCTACTTCTCTGTGGTCCTGGACTCCTCACTCTCGATAATCCAACTTAGCCAATCCATTGCCAAATCTTGTTTTTATCTTCATGATATCTCTGTATAATTCCTTTCCCACTGCTGGAGAAAGGCCCACTATTTATTTGTCCATTATATTATTCAAGATTACTGATGCAGTTCCAGAGATTTCAACTAATGGTTTTTAAACATCGATAATGCTGATTTTAAGAGTGGTTTGGTATTAAGGATGTAAAATAAGTATTGGATCAAAAATAGTGCTTGTTAAAAAAAAAATAATTTTCTATTCAGGATGCGAAATAAATGATTGCAAGGAAATAACCACTTCTGCTTATCTGAATGTATTTTTTCCCCATCAGATTTGAAGGTTGGCAGTTACCCACAAGGCGATCTACATTTATTAAGCACTAAGTGCCAGGTACTGTGCTAAGTGTTAGAGATGCAAATAAAGCCAAAAGAAAGACAATCCCTGCCCTCAAAGAGCTTACACTTTAATGGAATAAAACAACATAAAAGGGAACTGAAAAGCTGGGGTGGGAGGGGGAGACAGGTACTCATTGGGGGACCATGGCGTCCAAGTCCTGAAAGTCACAAGCAGAGCCAGGAGAATGAAGTTTGACTAGCCTGCTCCCTCCCCAAAATGGAGGCATCCTGGGAGGAAGTCACCAGTGGGAGAAGGGAACTAGCAAGGCAAAGGGATGCTCCAGGTGTGGAGGCCCCAGGCATAGAAAGAAGTACCAGGGTGACCAGAAAGCCAGACAGAGCCAGGAAGGGAAGTTAAGCAAACTTGTTTTTGAATTAGAGACCTATTTTCTCTGGCTTCCTGGACTTTCCTTCCTCTTTCACAGGGGAAGAAGGTTAAGGCTGCTGTGATCATGCCCTTCTCCAGGGGTGTTGTATTAGATGAGAGAAAACACACACACATACCACAATGCCCCTCTTTCTCCCGCCATCACCTCAGAGTCCAGAACTTGGTCCCAGAACCCAGTTCCCATCTTGGTTCTACTAATTATTCCCTGCTGTCCTTGGGCAGTCACCTAAATTCCGTGGGCCTCATTTTCCTCAACTGAAAATAATGGTGTTGGACAAGATCAGTGCTTTCAAATTCAAGTAGAAATGGATCCCATCTTGACTGAGAAGACCACAAATTGACATGATCCCGTGTTGCATTTTAATTTGTTTTGTTAAACATTTCCCAATTATTTTAATCGAGTTCTGATACCACTTGGGGGTTTTGCAGGCTTTCGCCCCTGGGCCCCAAGTTTGATGGTGACTTCTATAGGCCTTTCCAACTCAACATCAGATTGTTAATAATACCTTCATCTCCAGCTGTCCCCAGGGACATTTCCTCTGGAGCGCCCTACTGGCACCTTAACCTTTTGCCTTGTATTTATCTTGTACAAATCTCATGTTATCCCCATCCTGGGTTGTATCCCCAAATAGAAAGTAATAAGCATATTGTATCCCTAGCACTATAGTAGGTATTTATGCCCATATTGAATTGAATTGAATTGAATAACTCAGCATTGCCTCCCAAATAAAATCCCCAAACTCCCAAGACAAAAACTGGGACAATGGGTCAATGAAAGAGCACAGGAGTGAAAAGAGATTCTGTTGCCTGTAGGATAAATAGCAACCTCAGTTTAATTTAAGAAATATTTATTAAGTGCCTGTTGTATGCCAGGAACTGTGTATGCAAGATCAGAATAATCCCTGTCTTCAAGGAATTTACCTTTAACAATAAGTAAACATTTAAGTACCTACTATGTGTCAGGCAGTGTGTTAAGCACTGGGGATACAAAAGAAAAGGAAAAAGGAAAAAAATGTCCCTAGTCTCAGGGAGCTCACAGTCTAATTGGGAAGATGACATGTGAATGGCTATGTACAAACAAGGTAAAAACAAGATAAATTGGAGATAATCAACAGAAATAAGACACTTGCATTAAGAGGACCTGGGTAAGGCTTGCTGTAGCATGTGGGATTTTAGCTGAAATTGAAGGAAGCCTGGAAGGTAAATCTAAGAAGGGAAAGAATTCAAGGGATGGGGGTGGGGTGGGGAGGACAGCCAGTAAAAATGCATGGAGTTGGAAGAAGGAAACCAGTGGTACCAGATTACAGACTGTGGATGGGTTTGGGGGAGAGGAATAAGGTGGAAGAAGACTGGAAAACTGGGGTTGGGAAGAAAGCTAGGTTTTTATGAAGGGCTTTGAACACCAGACACAGGATTTTGTATTTGATCCTAGAGATGATATAGGTCTACTTGAGTTTATTGAGTAAGGGGGTGTCATGGTCAGACCTGTGCTTTAGGAAAATCACTTTGGAGGCAGAATGGAGAATGTACTGGAGTGGGGAGAGACCTGAGGTAGGTGGACCCCCAGCAGGCCATCGCAACAATCCAGGTGTGTGATGATGAGGGTCTACACTCGAGGGTTGGTATAGAAGGGGGCACATTCGAGAGATGTTGCCAAGGATACAGCGACAGGATATAGGGGATGAGAAGGAATGAGGACTCCAGTTGGACTCCTGGGTTGTGAGCCCGAGGGTGATGTTGCCCTGTACAGCAAAGAAAGGATGGTTGGGACATGTTGAGTTTAAGGCATGTCTACAGGACATCCAATTCCAGATGTACCATAGCCAATGGCAGATGCTAGACTGGAGGTCAGCAGAGAGGTTAGGGATTCTATTTGTAGAGGGTCTATTAGTGAAAAGCAACAAGCAACAGGCACATCGGAAGTTGTATGCAAAATAGATACAGAGTTATGTTATCAGGTAGGAGAACAGGTCTGATGTGAAGGACGGTTTGTTAACAATAGAACAGGGAGGTTTTCATCTTCTGGGCACCAAGATGGCAGAGTAAGCAGTAAATTGCCTTAATTCTCCCATATTCACCTCTAAACAACCATAAAATAGCACCCCAAAACAAATCCTGGAACAGCAGAACCAGCAAAAACATGGGGGTGAAACAATCTTTTAGGTCCAAGAAACTTGGAAGACCAGCAGGAAAGGTCTAACTCAGGTAAAAGGGGAGTACAGTCCAGGACAGAAAGTGACCAAGCAAGCTAGCAGCATGCCCCACCTCAGCATACCAGCAGGAGTTCCAGAGCCCCAATGTGGTGGAGTAGGCATACACCAACACCAGGACCCCCACATGCCTCAGCATAGCCAAGGGAAAGGGCAGACTCCAGCTCTAAGAATCACTTCATGCTTCAGTGTAGCCCCAGGCAAACAGGCAGCTGCCAGTGGCCAGACCACCACTTGCTTCAGTGTATCCCCTGGGGAAAAGACCAAAAAAGATGAGCAAAAAAACAACAAAAGAATCTGACCATAAGAAGTTATTATGGTGATAGGGAAGATCAAGACAAAATTCAGAAGAGGACAACAATGTCAAAATACCTATGGTCAGAACCCCAAAGAAAAATGAGAAGTGGTTTCAAGCCCAGAAAGAATTCTTGGAAGAGCTCAAAAAAGAGCTTAAAATCCTATAAGAAAGGTAGAAGAAAAATTTGGAGAAGAAATGAGAATGATGCAAGAGAATTATGAAAAAAGTCAGCAGCTTAGAAAAAGAAAACAACTGCTTAAAAAGTAGAATTGGCCAAATGGAAAACGAGATACAAAAATCCACCGAAGAAAACAATTCCTTAAAAAGTACAATTGGTCAAATGGAAAAGGAAGTACAAAAGCTAATTGAGGAAGACAATTCCTTAAAAGTTAGAATTGGGCAAGTGGAAGCTAATGATTAGAATGAAAAAAGTAGAAGGAAATGGAAAACAATTCATTGGAAAAACAACTGACTGGAAAATAGACCTAGGAGAGACAATGTCAGAATCATTGAACTACCTGAAAGCCATAATCTAAAGGAGGACCTGGACAGCATCTTTCAAGAAATCATCAAGGAAAACCGTCCTGATATCCAGAGGGCAAAATAGGCATTGAAAGAATCTATTGATCACCTCAGGAAAGAGATCCCAAAATAAAAACTTCAAGGAACATCATAGCCAAATTTCAAAACTATCAGGTCAAGGAAAAAATACTGCGGGTGACCAGAAAGAAACAATTCAAATATTGAGAAGCCACAATCAGAATTACATAGGACTTAGCAGCTGCAACATTAAAGTATCAGAGGTCATAGAACACGATATTCCAGAAGGCAAAGGAGCTAGGACTACAACGAAGAATCACCTGCCCAGAGAAACTAAGCATAATATTCCAAGGGGAAAAAATGGTCATTCAATGAGATAGGATTTCGAGCTTTCCTAAGGAGAAGACCAGAACTAAAACAAAAATTTGATCTCCAGTATCAAGGCCTCAGAGAAGCATAAACAGGTAAAAAGGGAAAAGAAAACATAAGGAATTCAATAGAGCTAAACTGTTTAATTCCTACATGAGAAGATGATAATTGTAATTTTTTTTTTTTTTTTGGCAATTGGGGTTAAGTGACTTGCCCAGGTCACACAGCTAGTAATTGTTAAGTGTTTGGTCTGAGGCTGGATTTCAACTCAGGTCCCCCTGACTTCAGGGCTGGTGCTTTATCCACTGCTCCATCTAGCTGCCCCAATACTTGTAATTCTTAAAAAATTGTATCACTGATAGTACAGCTAGAAGGAATATGATATGACAAAAAATAATTAAGGGATGAGAAAGAGGAGTACACTGGGGGGGAGGGTGGACAGTGGGCATCATTTGAACCTTACTTTCATCAACATTGGCTCAAAGAGGAATAATATACACAATCAGTTGAATATAGAAATCTGTCTTACCCAACTGGGAAGTCAAAGGGTAGGAGAATAAGGAAAGGAGAGAGGAAGGACTGACAGAAGGGAAGGAAGATGATAGACAAAAGCAGATATTGGTGAGGAAGGAAAGGGTAAAAGGAGAGAGGACAAACAGGAAAAATAAGAAGGAGAGAAATACACAGTGAGTAATCATAACTGTGAATGTGAATGGGATGAACTCTCCTATAAAACAAAAGTGGATAGCAGGATGGATCAAAAACCTGTATCCTACAATATGTTGTTTACAAGAAACACACTTGAAACAGAGAGAAACACACAGTAAAGGTAATGGGCTGGAGCAGAATCTATTATGCTTCAGCTGAAGTTAAAAAAAAAAAAAGCAGGGGTAGCAGTTCTGATCTCAGACAAGTAAAAGCAAAAATAGACCTAATTAAAAGAGATAAGGAAGGAAATTACATTTTGCTAAAAGGTACTATAGACGACAATGAAGCAATATCAATATTAACATACAATAATTAATATTATTAATATTAATTAACATATAATAACATATATGAGCCAAGTGGCATAACATCCAAATTCTTTAAAGGA